AGAAGGCCTTAGCGATGTGACTGTTGAAGAAGGCCTTAGCGTTGTGACTGTTGAAGAAGGCCTTAGCGTTGTGACTGTTAAAGAAGGCCGTAGCGTTGTGACTGTTGAAGAAGGCCTCATCATTTTGTTTGTTGAAGAAGGCCTCAGCGTTGTGACTGTTGAAGAAGGCCTCAGCGTCGTGACTGTTGAAGAAGGCCTCAGCGTTGTGACTGTTGAAGACGGCCTCAGCGTAGTGACTGTTGTAGAAGGCCTTAGCGTTGTGACTGTTGAAGAAGTCATCAGCGTTATGACTATTGAAGAAGGCCCCAGCGCAGTGATTGTTGAAGAAGGCCTTAGCGTTGTGACTGTTGAAGAAGGCCTCAGCGTTGTGATTGTTGAAGACGGCCTCAGCGTAGTGGTGACTGTTGAAGAAGTCCTCAGCGTGGTGACTGTTGAAGAAGTCCTCAGCGTTGTGACTGTTGAAGAAGGCCTTAGCGTTGTGACTGTTGAAGAAGGCATCAGCGTTGTGACTGTTGAAGAGGTCCTTAGCGTCGTGACTGTTGATAAAGGCCTCGACATTGTGACTGTTGAAGAAGGCCTCAGCGTCGTGACTGTTGAAGAAGGCCTCAGCGTCGTAACTGTTGAAGAAGGCCTCAGCGTTGAATTCGTCATTGTGTTCGTTGTAATTCACGTCCTGTGTGTCCTGTTCATGTATCCATGAAACCGTCCTTATGCTGAAACTCAGACTCTGTGCTCAAGTTCTTTATTTTGTTCCCGTGATCAATTAATAAAAATTCACATTTTGTCGACGATTTTGGAAGAATATTGGATAGACCAAAGCCGAATACTGTTTTCAATGTTTACACTTGACTTTTTATTGTGTAAGATGTTAGCAAGTCTCAAGAAAGTTGGGTTCAGCACAAAATCCATGCTAGTCATCCAGGCTGATTGACTTGTCGATGATAGCAGGGTCGTTGTTGTTCAACAGTTCATCGGCCTTGGAGCCGTCCAGTGACCTCGTAATAGAAAATCTCAAGAAGGACCAGATGATATTGGCAGGGTCCATCTCTTTCCAGGCGTCAGAGATCCATCGGCAAATGTCCGTCATGTCATATTTCATTATTTGTCCTACTTTGGTGAATGTTTGGTCATCTTCGGTCATCCAGCGGTTCTATTTCGTCGCCGCATGGCTGTTTTCATTGGGTTGTTGATCCCTACCTCGCGTGACTGCGGGATCAAGGTCATGACTCCAGGGATGTGGCCAAGTCTGTGCTGTCGTCTTGTTGGATGTGCTTAACACATTCCATTCTGTTTTAAATTTCTACGGAAATTTCAGTACTAAGATGGTGCGTTGTCTGGTTTGATGTTGACGCCACCACACTATACACGTATTTTCTTTCCTGGACAAAGATGCATGTAATACAGATGCTGTAAACATTTGTTCCCCATTTTATGATGTCTGCTTCTTGTTTTCCTATGAGCTTGACAATTTCAAACCATTACGACGACATCATCAAGAAAATTTAGCTTAACAGACGGTAAGTCTTTGGCGTTGTTTTTCCATGTTATGTTGTTCCTTCTTGGGGACATTGAGGTTTGATACATTGGAACGCGCAGTGTGTTGAGAGTCGCTTAACCATTGTGTGGAAAGTTTAACAAACAAGACCGGTTTCGTCGGCCATAATGTGATTCAGTAAAGGATTTTCCCACTGGTAGTTTTCGTCGGCTATAATGTGATTCGGTAAAGGGTTTTCCAACTGGTAGTTTTCGTCGGCTATAATGTGATTCAGTAAAGGATTTTCCCACTGGTTGTTTTCGTCGGCTATAATGTGATTAAGGAAAGGTTTTTTCCCACTGGTAGTTTTCGTTGCACTTGGATGATGAGGTTAATAAATAAAATGTTTAAGCTATATTTTTTACAAAAATGTTTTATGAGCGTTACATTGTTTTTCAATGAATGCGTTTCCTGTTAAGACGATCAATAAAACAACTTATTTAGAGACATTTTCTTGTGTTATCTATAACATGCCATAGGGTTGTTAGCTAAAGTGTTTAAAAGAGTAGTTGAATTTTTCGTCGATGCCATCACAGATACAAACGATGTATATTATGTTACCATGTGAGTGGGTTGTACATGTATTGCTTGGAATATACATGTATATGCTAGTATAGCATTGAAAACCATCCAATATTCACAATTAGGTAGGCGATCGTTTGAAATATCAATGGGTACATTCAGATGATAAAACACCAACTATCCAAAAAATGCAAATCTTTAAAATGAATACCATATGAAAGCACTGTCGATGATATACTACCAGCAGGTCCTAAGGGAGATAACTGTCGTAAATACACCGGAAATTATCATTTCCCTACGGAAATAAAGACCGAAAATTTAAAGGAAGAAAAAATGCATATCTCCCTGTCTTCCAGGATACCGAGTAACAAATATATGACCACTTCTTGCATCAGTCGGATGTGCCACCACCTAGAGATTCTCACGGAATGTGTTCACTCTTAAGAAGGTATTTGTGAACTCACAGAGGAAACCATTCAAACATAACTGACGCTTTTCTGCAGCATTTATATGCATAGAATACAAACTATTGATGCAACAAGCAAACATAGTTCTCTAAGACTGTGGATCCAGAACTAATGTCCCGAACCAGTGATGCGCTGTGTTTCCATTGTACACTATGAAGCAATGGTTTGGGGAAATAATTGCCGTGCCTTAAATAGCCTCCCACGCCAGCGAACAGAAGATGGGGACTTATACTGGTGTCAATATAGTACAATTCCTGAATGTTGCTTTAAAATGATTTCGTGTGCGTGTCAGAAGCTATGTGGAAAGCGTCATACCAAATGGCACAGATGAAGCTTTTGCTGCTCATCAATAGGTGGATGTCAGCAAACAAATTGATCATCCATCTCTTGTATAAATAGACTTAATTTATATCATTCATTACAAAATTGGTACTGGTACATCTTGAGGAGGCGGATTGTTACGTAAAAAATAGGTCACTGTGACTTGCATGTTAAGCCTATATCTAACTTAAAAGGTAAAAATATGTGAGATTCCTATTGTTAAGAGCATATCTCCAAAGTATTTCGCGTCCAATCATCCAAGTTGCATTAAGTTTTAGTAAATTTTTCAGTTATTGTTTTATTTGTTTTAAGTGACTTCAAGACTATAAAGACTTAACAGATATTTCCGAGGACTTTAAGGCGTGGATAAAGACACAGTGTGGTGTTTTGGAACCTTCATCTGAGGAAGCGTAAGATGCAAAGGCAGGCGTCAAAAAAATAATTTCAGCTACAATTGTACATCGCTATATTAGCAACATGATTATCCATTTTTCTAACGACACAAAAAAGAATTGTTTTCTGGCGGGAATAGGAGTGTCCGATGTGGTATATAAGAATGAATGACACCCAGACCAAGCCACTGTTTAGACTATTATCAGTGTTATGGTCGAGTTTCATGTATGGATACATTAATATTCAGACCTTTCCTATGGTATTCATTTTAAAGATTTGCATTTTTTGGATATTGGATGATTTTCGATGCTATACTACCAGCAGGTCCTAGGGGAGATAACTGTCGTAAATACACCCGAAATTAACATGCATTTTCCTCTTTGCTGTGCACAGTGATGCGACGAATATAGTAGTATCTTAAACTAACAGGAACAAGTTCTAATCCAAGAAGCCAGAGTTAACATTTCCTGTAATAGAGTTAAGGGTCAAGCGACGACAGACGAATATTCAAATCTACTTTGTATAGAGTTCAATCCGACGGAAAACCAAATTTTAGTGAAAATGCAGTACATCATATAATAATGTCTTAATGTATAACAAGAAAAAGTGGCCGGGTTTAGGAAACGCTGCTTTATTATCTACAAAAATAATGAGGATATGCGTAACAATTATACAAATAAAACCTGATTGGGATGAAAATGAAACATTTGTTTTTATGAACAAATATTTTGTATTTATTACGTCATTAAAAACATAAAAGGCAATTGTTTCGATATTTTCCTCAATGAATTGTGTGTGAAATCGACATACAATTACAATAACATGTATAACACACCAACTCGAAATGTATCACATATAAAGCGTTCCATCGTTGTTTGGAACATGTAATGATATAAGTGAAACAAAGTACCTTTGCTTTGGATCAACTCATTTAAATAGATACTGTACAATACATCGGTGAAACGTATTTCTGTGCACATTCAAAATAAAACATTTTAAAAGTTCTGTAAGTTTGATGCTCTCTTTTCAAAAAATCATAAAGGAGCATCAAATTATCCTATTTGAAATGCACACGTTCACAAAGAGATTGCAATGTGCATATTTTATCCAAATTATAGAGGAAGCAAAAAGTGCGCAGCCTAAGGTATTTGTCTTAACATAATCGGTTAGCGCAAGTAACGGCACTTAGGTTTAACGGAAAAGACACGTAAATTGAAGATAATTATGTTGGCAGTATGTTTGGAAATCCCATCAGTCATCACGAAAAAAGGCGCAAGTAAAAGGGCATCACTGTTAAAAAAATAAACGGGGTTTAAAGCGTGCAGTAGTTCGTGATATAATATACACTACATACGTGTATATTGAGGTTAGCTCTCATTGTCACCACAGCTACATTGTATCTACATACCGATATTGCTGCCACGCGTAAGTACTTGCTACCATTTACATCCAGGTATTATACGAAAACACGTGTACAACAGTGTTGCTCAGTATTATCGTTTATACACGTATATCAAAATGTAACAGAGTGCATTACTCTGTTGTGTTCTACACCAAAAATAATTCTTAACGAGAGGTAACTCTTACATCGTAGCTTGAAGATATGAATTAGGACTACATCCTTGATAAAATTTCGCAGCGCTAATATCTCGCTGCCAAGGCAATGTTCGCAGATATTTTAAAACATTTCGTCGGCTGTTACCTAACATTATCTGTATACTACTGTGAGTGAACTGGTATGTTACCCAAAGAGTACATGTTTACCGACTAATCTGTAAACAAACATATTTTGTCAACTGGTTTGCTATAACAACCGTCGACTCGTCTACGGTATCAAGTATCAACTGGCGATGTCAGCTGATTCGAATTTCTGATTTGTTGAGAAAGTGTCCCAGCTCTTGTGCCAGTTTCCGTTTGTAGTTGTTAATCATATATGTCATATATTCAGTGTATATCTCAGTCACGGGCATTCGCTTGCCCTTTCTTCTGTAGTTGCCCTCGTAGTTCTTCATCACACAGAACTTCTCCTTGTGTGTCAGGGTAACGCCCAGGAACTTCATAAGTCGGTCCACTTCCGCCGACGGGTTGACTCGCAGGTTCTCGTACATAACCACGTGGACGGGACCGTCAAACGTCAACCAATCGTGATAAAGGTCGTACCATTCTCCGGCTGTTTCAAGAATGTAGTCGTACCAACCTACAATGTCAGTGCAAATGAAAATGTTTTGACAAAATAAGCAAAATTAACCAATACAAAAGTATCCCTTCGAAGCTACAATTCACAGTCTGACAAGGGGATATAACTCTGATTTTGTGTCTGGCAAGTTTCGGTGCGTATTACAGCTAACAATACAAACAGTAACTGCCATGCATTATATTGGTAACCCCTTGGACCTTCTATCCTTACGATGCAATCCAATAGAAGTATGGAGTTGATACAAATAGCAATATCCAAAAAACCAAAGTCACTAGCCTAGTGGAAGGGGAATACTGACGGAGAGGAGATTTTTGTTTCGAACTGGATAGCCCATAGTCCCAGACGTTTGATTTCGCTATCATTGAGATCTTACTGACGTGTCAAGAATGCTGCAACCTGGCGCAAAACAAAAGGACCACGACATACACAACATCCTGTCATTCTTGAAGTAAACCTCGCATCACCTTACTTTTTTCGAGGTTTACGCTGGCGGCATAGCCCTTGTGGCCTCCATGTCGCCGGTTGAACTCGGAGAGGAGGGCTTCGAAGGGGTCCCTTATCAGGAGGATAGCGCGAACATACCGGGCTCGCTCTTCCTGACCCCAGACATGTGTCTTCACTGCGATCACAGAACCATTGGTCTGTCCCTCACCCGGGAATCCGTCCCTCTTCAGACTCTTGTCGGTATACGCGCTTCCAGTTGCCATACCTGTAAGTGAAAAAATATTTACAAAAGTTCAAATTTATTTAACAAGAATAAACAAGAGGCCCAGAGGGTCTGAATCGCTCACCTGAATATGTTTAAAATAATTGGTATCAAGTAAAGATATAGCACTCCATGGTAGGTGCTGTAAGTACATATGAAATTTCAGAAAGATCCATCCAGTACTTGAGATATAGCGACAACAAACTTCAAACAGAGCCCATACCCTATGCCCCTAGGGGGTCATACCCACCGTTTATACAAAACTGAGTCCCCTTGGCCGAAGGATACCTTAAATCCTATGGTAAAAGAAGGATTTTAAAGGTTTTACCTCTATTTCCCCTTTGGGGCCCCGCCTCTCTGCCCCCAGAGGGGTCAGACACATCATTTATACAAAATTGGTTTCCCTTCACCCAAGGATGCTTCATACCAAATTTGGACAAAATCCTGTCATTCCTACAGAAGAAGAAGGATTTAAAAAAATGCTATATTTCCCCTATTGGACCCCGCCCCTTAGCCCCCAGGGGGCCAGAACCACCGTCTATATGAAATTGGGTCCCTTTTGCCCAAGGATACTACAGACTAAATAAGGATAACATCCCTTAATCCCTATAGTAGAAGAAGGATTATAAAGGTTTAACCTCTATTTCCCCTATTGGGCCCCGCCCATCTGCCCCCAGGAAGGCCACACCCACCGTTTATACAAAATTGGTTCCCCTTTACCCATGGATGCTACACACCAAGTATTGACGAAATCCTTTTGTTCCTACAGAAGAAGAAGGATTTTCAAGAACAATTTGCTATGTTTCCGCTCTTGGGTCCCGCCCCTCAGGCCCCTAGGGGGCCAGGCTCACGGTTTATACAAAATGTGTTCTCCTACACCCAAGGATGCTTCTGACCAAATATGGAACAAATCCTTTCATTTCTACAGAAGAAGAAGAAGGATTTTAAATAATTTGCTATATTTCCCCTTTTGGACCCTGCCCCTTAGCCTCCAGAGGGGCCAGTCCCACCATTTATACAAAATTGAGTCCCCTTTGCCCAAGGATGCTCCAGACTAAATTAGGATAAAATCCCTTAATCCCTATACGGTAGAAGAAGGATTTTAAAGGTTTTACCTCTATTTCCCCTATTGGGCCCGCCCCTCTGCCCCCAGGGGGGCCACACCCACCGTTTAAACAAAATTGGTTCCCCTTTACCCCAGAATGCTACACACTAAATATGGACCAAATCATTTTATTCCTACAGAAGAAGAAGAATTTTAAAGAATTTACTATATTTCCCCCATTTGGCCCCGCTCCTCAGCCCCCAGGGTGGCCAGACCCACCATTTATACAAAATTTGCTACCCTTCCCCTAAGGATGCTTCTGACTAAATATGGAACAAATCCTTTCATTCCTACAGAAGAAGAAGGATTTTAAAGAATTTGCTATAATTTCCCCTTTTGGACCCCGCCACTCAGCCCCCAGGGGGGGGGCAGTCCCACCATTTACACAAAATTGAGTCCCCTTGGCCCAAGGATGCTCCAGACCAAATGAGGATAAAATCCCTTAATCCCTGCGGTAGAAAAAGGATTTTAAAGGTTTAACCTCTATTTCCCCTATTGGGCCCCGCCCCTCTGCCCCCAGGGGGGCCACACCCACTGTTTATACAAAATTGAGTCCCCATGGCCTAAGGATGCTCCAGACTAAATTTAGTCAAAATCTACTTAGCCGTTCAGGAAAAGTAGCGTTTTAAAGGAAATGGCATAAGCTCACCATGGTCCTTCGGACCAGGTGAGCTAAAAACTGTATGGGTATGATAGGGGAAGAACTTTTATAGAACATATTTAGGGAGAGAAATATTATTGTTTCTTCATCCCTCTGAATCATATTTGTGTAATAAAAATGTTTGATTATTTAACAAAATACTGATAAATTAAACCAAATGGTTTGTTTTTGTTGATTATTGATAATTTACATATCTATATAAAGTATAAGGCATGATATCATTTTAGTGGTTTTAAAGAAGTTCTGAGCTCCCCATTAATACTACTTGTGAAGACAGAACATTTTAATGGTGCGTAAAGAGTAAAAATGAAATTCAAACTTAGCTTTGGACATACAAAGTAACAAAATTATCATGTCGGGGCAAGATAAACCCCGAGAAATTAGATTTGAAAGTAGACACAAAGAAACCATTACCGACGATTGACTAACAATCCATCGTCGGGACGGATTATTTAATCGTATCCAAACTCATATAACATAACATCATACTTCCCGAATATAAAGTTCAAATTGAATGTATAACAACAAAAATACGGAAATTCATTGGAAAGCCTTCTTTAAGACGAAACAATGCATAGACTTTTTTATATGAAGGATTTCCATTTCCTGCTACTCTATCATATATCTTTGAAAAAAAAATTATGCAATTTCTGTTAAAGTAAACACTGTCTTTGTCAGCGTCGTCATTCCCTGCAGGTCGGGGATCGAGAAAAGAATACACCTGCTGTTACCCACTGCATGTATCGTAGGAGCCGACTAATGTGGGAACCCCCTGCAGAATTGGGGATTGGCTTTTTTGCCCTCTACTTAGAGACACAAAAGCGACCAAAATAAATCGGGTGCACACATTGAAATATTTGGTATCATTATATTTCTCTCTACTTCTTACTACCTTCTATTTTCTAGCGCATTGCTTGGCAGCACCTCACTTTTGGCTTTAGTGTTGAACGTTCGCCCAGGTGAGGAAGGCAATGGGTTCTGTCCTCAGGCCGGGACATACCAAAATCCTTAAAAATGGTAGTTGTTATTCCCTGGGTAACGTTCAGCATTTGGGGGAATGGCAATAACTGATTCACCCGTTTTCAGTATACTGTGACTGGGCGGAAAGCTGTGCTGGGTTCCTTCGGCATGGTATTTCAGTGAGATAGCACTATAAAGTCGGCATCAGATCCGCGCGATCACAAGGAGGCAATCAAACCAACTAGCCTGTCCTCTGCATACACACACACAAGCAAGCATACACTACACACACGGTTTGGTTTAGTTAACATTTATGGTCATTTAAGGACGGCCTCCTCTGTGTACAAGATGCATGCATGTAGTGTATGCGTGTGTGTTTTGGGAGGCTGCGATATGTTCGTGTTTGTCTCCGTGTGATAGCGCGGAACTGATGCCGACTTAATAGTGCAACCTCACTCAAACATACTGCCGAAGACACCAAGCACGACACCCCACCAAGTCACATTATACTGACAACGAGCGAACCAGTCGTCCCACTCCTAATTTGCTGAGCGTTAAGCAGGAGTAGAACCTACCATTTTTACAGACTCTGGTATGTCTCGGCCAGGGGACAGAACCCAAAGCCTTCCTCATAGGGGCGAACGCTCAACTAAAGGCCAAAAGTTAGGCATTGTCAAGGGACCAATTAGGAAGAAGAAAGTTGTTTAGAAAGAAGAGAAAAGATAAGATCCACAATTAAGTCGCATCTTACGAGCATGCAATGGGGTCAGGAGGTACAATTCTTAAATCCTCGGAGGCAAATCCTTAAATGACCTTAGCTGTTAATAGGACGTTAAACAAAATTATTCAAACCAAACTCTGTCGTGTCGTAATCTTATCTCTGACCCAATTGTGACGTATCGTCCTTGTATGTCATTGCTCTTCTTGAAGCCTGTTTATGACGTGTCGCCCTGTCACGATATTGCCTTACCTGTAATATGTTTATGACGTGTCACACTGTCTCGTCATAGTCTTACCTGTGACATGCATATGACGTATTTCCCTAGTAAATCATTGCCATACTTCTAGCCTGCCTATGATGTGTCGCCCTGGTACATCTTTGTCTTACCTGTGGCTTGCTGTATGACGTGACGTATCCAGGTATTTCCAGACCCAGGGAAGCTGACCAGGGCCGTCGAAGGGAGTGATATTGTGGAATATCGAAGGCCTTTGCATGTCCAGTTGTCGGTATCCGGCTGTCCCATATACATGTGACCATATCTCTGTATCCAGGACACAGGACTATTGTAAGACCGAACCATGGAATAAAATGCCAGAAGATTGACCACAGCAATGTACGTCGCGGCGCACGTGATAATCGCCAACACTGACCGCCTCGGACGCTTTCTCCAACACATAAGGACGCCCGAGGTCAATAGAGAGCCAGGGCTAAGTCATCAGTCGGCCGCACCTGAAACACGTGAATATGGTACTGAAACGTTTCGCTGACCGATAATGTGAAATTGTTCAGTTTAGGAAATAACAGCATCAATCTCTTCAAACGGTCATTAGGTGCAAAATATTAAAATTCATTATACTCCCGATGTCTTTTGTTTCAAGCAATCACAAGTGCTTAAATATAAGATTAGTTGTGATTGATTCATTGTTTATCAGAGAAAGTCATTTTAGTCTTAACAAGGTCACAACACACTGAACAGAAGCTGTCCTATCTTTGCAAATATTATTTACTTTTTATCATTTTAGAATATTTTATTTTATAGATCTTACATACAAAAAGAATTGGACAACAGACAAATCATGTAAAAGCCCTCTCCTAAAATATAGACAGTGCATACACATAATGAAGCAGAAATATACAGAACGTAATATGAAATTATATTAGAAATTATTGAATGATTGAATCATCAATTATTTTAAGTAATATGTTAATTTGAGGTCGGTCAGACATAAACTTATTTATTTAAATCACAATATGATGAACGTTCTTTGCCCCCACCCCTACCCTCAACTCCACACACCCTCCTTCTCCCTTAATACCGATTCCGCACGGCCATTGTTCTAACCAGTGGAAACCTTTCACGTCATTAGTCGTTGTAAATGAATCAATTTGCGTATAAACAGAAGCTTCTACCAAATCACTTAACCCGGTCTCACTTCCATCCATCAATGTGTTCGCACGTTAGGTTTTAGAAATAGTTCACGGTTCCGCCTCATCTTAACGACCAAGGGTCACTTGTATAAAATATCTCAAAGTCAAGGAAAATCTCAAGCAATGTATTGTCTATGGGAAATCTTAGACTTGAGGAAATCTCAAGAGTTGAGATGTTTTATACAAGTGGGCCCAGGTACTTACACAATAGTCCGGCCGGCGACGTCCTAGCCCCCACACCATTATCGTTTACGTTTGTAATATTTAAAGTCACTTGACACATGGTTTGACCTATACGTCGTATAGTGTGAAACGTAGTGGGCTTCGCGTTCACATCCGTTATCCAGGCCAGACAGTGGCATATAATCAAACGCACTTAAATAATATGTCTACGCTGACCTTGTGCGCTGTGAACTAATACAAACATACATCATAAACGTGTTGTTAGCTGCCTTGCAGTAGTATCAGGCAAAGGAAGTATTCAAAATCCGAGTTGAGCACACAACAAGATATAATGTTGATTTATAGCAAAAGATTGCACGCCATATGTACAATCAAATTACATATAATTAAATCAGTAGCTGATCACAAACATTATATCGTAGATAGTGTTCTGTTTCCACACAGAATATAAAGTAAATTTCTGGATCTACTCAATATGACCGACATTTACGACAGTAGCATGACAGATGTAACTGACGTCATTATTCACGATAGTAACGGTACAGGTATTACTGACGTCATAATTTTACAGTTAATAATTGGACTAGATAATTACTTAGTCTACCAATATATAGACCGAAAACTGAAGCGCTAGTTGTTGAGAATATTTCCATATCATCTGTTCTAAAATAGAATAGAATGCTCGAATTTCCAATTTCAAGAGACGAGGTTACTACGTTTACGTGAAAGTAATACTTTGTGTATGACGTCATTAAAATATGTTCTCATCCTTTCGGTCTATTACTTGATAGACTGCAAATCCAAACAATGAAAATGCGTGTTATAAACAATATCAAATTCAACACATATGTTACTGACCTCAACATCGCATTATTTAAGTTGGTTGCATACTTTTTCGTTACTGACGTCACCACCACACGACAAAAGTGTGACTCTCATGTCAATGACGTCAGCATCACACGATAGTAGTGTGACTCTCATGTCAATGACGTAATCGCCACACATAGTAGTGTGACTCTCATGTCAATGACGTAATCGCCACACATAGTAGTGTGACTCTCATGTCAAAGAAGTAATCGCCACACATAGTAGTGAGACTTGTTTGTCAATGACGTCATCATCGCGCGATAGTAGTGTGACTATCATGTCAGTGACGCCATTGTCACACGATAGTAGTGTGACTCACATGTCTATAATGGCATCATCACACGACAGTTGTGTGACTCGTATTTAAATGACGTCATCATCACACGATAGTAATGAGACTCTTTTGTCAATGACGTCATCACCACACGATAGTTGTGTGACCCAAATGTCAATTATGTCATAATCACACGGTAATAGTGTGACTCACATGTCAGTGACGTAACCACCACACGATAGTAGTGTGACTTACATGTCTATGACGTCATCACTTCAAAATGGTAGTGTGACTCATATGTTAATGACGTCATTACGGCATCATGCTACTAAGGCTTTCTCTATTATTTTCTACCATTATATAGATCCTTTGAATAATTTAAATGTCGTGCATATGTACGTGATATCGATGTTATTCTTGTTAGCTTTTCAGATGTGTCTGCCAAATGGCACAATCGTAGTGTATCTAAAACCAAGTTCGTATATTGCAAAAAAAAAAACTTTTCTAATATCTAATCCAAGAAAACACATAAACGGCTCTGCCGAAAACAAATGAATGTAAAGCAACGTTACAGTTAATCGCTTAAAGTTTGAGTATAGCAAGACTGCAACGCTGAGATAGGGCTACGAGGTGTACGATTATAGTACACTCACGTGCCAAGCCTGTACAACATCGAGTAAAAGATTATACTAGAAAAGGGCACCATGGGACGACAATACCTACATAGAGACCAAAATAACTACATAGAGACAAAAAAACCATCACATTGCAAAGACGAACATACTATACTAGACAGGATCGTCTGTGTTATCATCGGTAGACAAATTTATCTGAGCATATTAACACAACACAATCATGAAACCTCTATCATCGATCTAGTCCATTCTATCAATGAGAGGGTCAGTCCGGCCAGTGATATTGGTGAAACAAGTGGTCAGTGTTTGTCTGATGTTACCGCTTCTATACAATTCAGACGGTGTCTAATTGGCGTGAATGGATATGGTGTTAAAGCGACATACCGGCAATTCCGGTTAAATCGTTACTAACGTTGTTAGTATGGGACCATACAGAGGCTAACAGCGCCAGTCCCACTGGTAATGTACGCTATTCAATATTTAATGAAGGCAAAATGTCAGTCTTCGTTACGTACATTCATCGTAATACTGGGTATAACGTTGTCCGCTAAATCAGGAAAATTTAAATATTTGCATACGTATGTCTCTCAAACTGTACGAAGTCACTGCACAAGGCCACTTGCACAGTTCCTATGTATACTAGACGCCAATTTTATCTCGCGTGATTCCTAATCATGAAGAGCTCCGAACGATGCTTTATATTAGAATTGTTAAATATGAACGTTTTATATACGAAACATAATGCATGTAGCAAAGTGCTTGATTGCTAGACTGTAAACGCAACGATTCTCTGTTGGTGTACATAATGTATTACCATATATTACTATCATACAATCTTCTTAGTCATATATACTTCATCCTCGAATTGGCCGAGAACACAAGTGAACGTAGTCCCTACGAATATGGAGGATGTATATTACATTCACAGTTATACTGTCTACAATTATATATAGAATACTAAACAACATATAGAGGACCACAAACAATTTATTTGACGTTAGGGAAAATAGGAAAATAAAGGTTACATTGACCTTGATATGTTTGAGTAGTTCTCCTCTAGATGTATCGACATATGGCTGTTGGTCATCTTGTATTAGAGAAATAAAACTTCAAAAAGAAAAGAGTACAAAAATCAGTGAAGCGGAGGAATCGGTCACAGTGACATAAGCTTGATATATTAACATATGACGTTTGGCGACTTGAGTTTGTAGTTACAAACCAAAGTTAGTGAGGCGGTAAAATAGGTCACATTGAATGACATACATTTATTATATATGAGCGGAGTACTCTTTGTGATGTATCCACAATAGAAGTTTGATGAGTATTGATTTTCTAGAATAAGGTTTTATTTCATTTAACGTCCTATTAACAGCTAAGATAATTTAAGGACGTACCCCCATGCAAGTTGTGTATGCGTACATGTGTGAATGTGTAACAGAGGCAGAGTGTGTTGGTGTATTTGCCTCCCTGTGATAGCGCGGATCCGATACCGACTTTATAGTGCTATCTCACTGAAATACCATGCCGAAGGCACCAAACACAGCATATCGCCCGAACACATTATACTGACAACGGGTGAACCAGTTGATGTCATTTCCCTAAATGCTGAACGGTATGCAGGGAATAGCAACTACCACAAGGTGCTAGGAAATCAAAAGTAGCTAGAAGCAGAGAGAAATATAAAAATCCCAAATATTGCAATGGGTGTAGCAGATTTATTTTGGTCGCTTTTATGTCCCCGAATAGAGAACACAAAAGCAAATCTCCAGTTCTGCATGGTTTCCTACGTTAGTCGCCTCCCTTCTATCGCGATCCAAACGGTTGCCCGTTTATGAAATAAGGTCGGACCCAGTAATTTGATGCTGCTTTCAGGGGAGCCTTGACCAAGCCTTGCATACACTTTTGCAGGTCCGCCACGATTTATACCCGAAAATGATACATTTAAAAACGGACGTACCGGTTGTTCCGCATTAACGAACAGGTCCCAGGTGTATTCTGTACTCGAAGAGTAACGGAACTTTTAAAGTCTAACCATTCCATCGTAGCCAACGGAGGGTGTTAAAGGGGGAGGGGTTTCTAATAAAGGGGAATCTGTTCCAGTGTGGTTTTTATAATTCGCCTAAAGGGAATGTTGTTCCATTCTTCTTAAGTCAATGCTGCGTTCGATTGTGCGCGTTAAGTTGGCGTATTTCAACGTTTACGGTTACGTCTATCAATCTCATCCTACAGATGTTAAATGGGAGACATGTCTGGGATATCCCCAGGGACGGGAGGGAGGTGCATTCTACAGGCTGGACATTGCTGTTCGGGAGAAGTTATGGCAGACCCTAGCAACATTTGGT